TCTACTAGACAATTTTTTAAAAAGGGTGACATAAGCTCCTTGAGGCCCAAATTGTGACGCAAGGCTATAATACTGTTTTAACTAAACATGATACATGCTCAATGTATACCTTTTCAATAGCTATAAAGGGGAGTTTGCAAAAATATGCATCTATTATCACCATAGGAGTTCCTACTCAAAAATCCTAAGATACATTACCTTAATGAATAAAACAATTTATAAAGAAGTAGAAAGCTAGGCAATTCTTTAAAAACCTATCACTAAAACGTGCAGTAATTATAACTCTTGAAAATGAGTGGACATTTTACTGGAAGTTGTGAATCTGTACTCAACAGAATCAAACATACTATTTTGGTATTTACAATAAACTGACTTGACCTGTTAATAAATAGTCAACTGCCATCTCTTTGGTTAAGTGCTACTTTTAATCTGTTACCATTAGGTGACAAAATAAAATTCACAATTTAAAAAAAATCATAGAACTACTAGTGTAGTTAAAAAAAAAAGTGTCCAGAAAGTAGAATTTAAGCATTTCCAGAAACACATGCTGTTTTAATAACTATTAGGAATGTCTCAATAACTGAAAAAAGTTACAAAAATTTTTCTCTCAAGGGGAAGTGTCTTGATACCTGTAATTTACTTTGAAATGCAAACAAATGATAAGATGGACTGATGCAGAGAGAAGGATGGAGATATAAAGCAAGTATATTAACACAAGGAAAAAAAATTTCTATTTCTTTAATTTTGTATTTATGAGATAACGAATGTTCACTAGACATATTGTGATAGTCATTTCATGATGTATGTAAGTTACATCATGTTGTATACCTTAAACTTATAGTGTTGTATGTCAATTATATCTCAATAAGACTGGAAGAAAAATAAAGTATAGTACAATCAAGGTGTGGGTTTATTGATGTACAATGTAAAATTCTTTCAACTTCTCTGTACGTTTAAAAATTTTCATACTGTTGGAAAAAATTATTCCTAGATAGTTAAAGAAAAAAAGCACAGAGTATAACATTAACCTTAGAGAACTGATAATTTTTCCCTATTATACTCAGAACTGCAATAAAACAAATTGAATATGATGAATAAGGAAGTTCTGCTTTATATATTTTGAAGAATGTAATAACCACATAAAATTTGAGAACCTGTGGCATGCATTAATATAGATGATAGACTATCACCTCCTAGAATTTTTAAACAGGCGGATCTTGTTCTGAGACAGACTAAATATATTACGGTTAAAGGAGTGAAAGGGAATAGATGAGCTCTAACTTTATTTCTAAGATTTTCAAGTTATCTAACTTTTTATATGTACAAAATGATCAGTATTATAAAAGACTTCTGTATACCACATTGGCGGGAGCACTAGCAGCTGTCTTTTCTTCCATTTTACTATCTGTTTTGGCAACTCGAAGAGAACTTGCAGGATCAGAAGCTTTTTCAACCTAGAGATGAGTATATTATTATTACAAATTATATATAAGTAACATACATATATGCATAAATATATATGTAACAAATCAGTACAATGTTTAGAAAACAGTCATTCCAACAATAAGAAATCTGAGCTGAAGATGAGAAGGAATTTGAGGAAAACCTTGTAAAATGATCGTTCTCCACTACTGAAGGGCAGAGAGGGAAAGTAACAGATCTCTGAAGCGGGGGAGGGCTGAGTATGCAGCACTGTCTGGGAAGTTCTTTGGTTGGGGGAGGGGAAGCACCCATCCCAGGGGAATGAGTACCAGCACTCTGTGCACACCTGTACTCCCCTCAGGCCCACTCTGCCTTCCTGGAGGTACAGCCCATTCCCCTAGTGGCCTCAGGTCAGGAAGAAAGTCACAGGTTTGAAGAACTGGCTAGTAGAAAATTTTCCATGGATCAGATCTATAAGAAACCTTTTGTCTAAATTATGCCAGTCAAATAAGCAGATTTTTGGATCTATTAGAGAAGCTCAGTATAAGCTGAGACAATCAGAACAGACACCAGAATTCCCTTGTACCCTCCAACTCCACATTTACACTCAGTGAGGACAGGGATCCCTAGAGAAGCTCTTGCTACTAGAACTAGAGTCCGCACAGATTCCATGTTGGTACTCTGTTGTCTGTAAGTCTAACTGAAGTGACTTATTCTCATACAATCTTCACCAAATCACACAATCAAATACTTAGCATTAAGATGCAACCCCCATCAAGTGACCTATCTTATACAAACTGAGTGTAGCTATGGTAACCACAGCCTCTTGTTATACAGAAATCTTCACCAAATCACATAATCAGATGCTAAACATTAAGATTCAACTCCCAGAGCAGTGTTTCAGCCAGGACCAGATGGTTGTGCTTGCATCTTTTCCTGCAACAGCTACCTCTCACCCAGATTTTGACTCTGATTAAGCATTTTACACCTAACCAGTCGGTGTCTGAGGCCAGTAAGAAATTGAGAAGCACTGACCTAGGGAATATAAATCCCCTAAAAGCAGCAGCAGTAGCAGCAATTTTGCTCACTAATGTCCCCTCTATTATCTGCTCTTTTAGGAGCTCCTCTGTTTAAAGACAGGCTTATGAGCATGATATGAGAAGATTCGCGGCAGAAAATCACATAAGCCCTTGAAAACTGACCGGCAAGACCTCTGGATGTTTTTCGGCTTCATCATCTTGTTCTTCATTTACATTTGATGCAGCAAATACTTCAAATTGGCTGAAATCTGCAAAATTTGGTTGTTCTGGTATCTGCTGAGGTGAGGTACTAGTGTGAGTTATTAGGCCATCAGCATCCACTGGGCGATGCACAACGGGACCAGGAGCCTTCGTGACAGGGCAGAACAGAGCAACAAACATTTTACTGGTGGTATCAGTGTTACAGAGTAGCCGCCTTTTTCTTTGAAACTTTATTATAAGGATGTTCTGTTTTATTATCTGAAAATTCAGGGAGGTGAGCTACAGTACTACCTACCCAAAAAAACTTAAAGTGAAATGCTAAGAGTAAAAAAAGTTAAGATGACAAACCTTCAATTAAAAAGCTGCTTCTACAAAATTCTTATTGCAAAGAAAAGTGCTTCGAAGGAGAGGAAGATCTGTTCCTAATTTCTGATTCTTCCCTTGCATCTATTTTTTTAATTGGGCTACTGCATAATTGTTTGTTCTTTGAAAGTTATTTTTAAAAGTGTTTCAAAAGAGACTTATTTTTAAAGTGTGAAAAACCAGTACTCTAACAATAACTCCAGTGCCCTTTCTTTCAATCTGTCCTCCACTCCTTTGCCATGTCAATTCTTCTAAAATCTTGAACTGCAAAATAAATTTACTGAGTATCCACTTTTGGCCAAGCACTATGGATATAAATGTGAACAAACAAATAAGTTCTGTTCCCTAACAAAGGTGACAGTCTAATGCAGGATAAGAAATAAGTAACCAAGGAATTAAAATACAGTGTGAGAAGTTTTATGACAGAGGAAGTACAGGATGCTACAGGAATAAATCTGAAGTCTCTTCCCTGTTTATCATTTAAAAATTCCTATATCTTGTAAGAAAAATTCTATCTTCTTAGTATGTTATAGGAGACGCTCTGCCTCTTCCCCACCTCTTCAATTTCCTTTCCTATCACTCTAGTTGTACTGAACTCAATGGCTTTTCCTTGAAGAATATGCCAGGCTTACCTTACACCCTTATGACTCTGTGGATACCACTCCTTGTGGTTGTAATGCCCTCTCCCCAAGAAATACCACTTTCTCTTCTAAGTCTCTGCTTAAGTCAAACTTCCTTCATTTTACTTAGATCTTTTCAATGTGATCATGACCCCTGACTTTACTGGCTAGAACCGCTATGCCGAAGCATTTTATAAATTTGTCTACTGTAAGCACTTCTATTATAACTGCTGTTTACAGGTCTGTCTTCCCAACTAGACTGGTTCTAGAGTTGAGAGTCCAACTCACTGGGTTTCACAGCTTAACCCAGAAAAAGTATCTTTGTTGGCACTTTAGATAAAATAAATACTGGAATATTAAAATTTAATTATCTCTGATATAAGAAACCATGTTTTTAACTGCAAATAACTAATTTCACTTTAAGACCCCAAGTCAGAAAAATCAACCAAATTCATTCATACAAAAGGTAGCCAGTCAGTCAGTGACATAAAACTAAGCTATAATCCAGAATCTGTCTTGGAAAATAGTCTGATGCAGATGAAAACAACTGATCTGGCCGGGGTGCAGACGTCATCTAACACTTCCTTCACAGACGCAGCAACATATCCAGAGAGACGCAGTGAGGTCACTCTGACTCAGTGCTAGATCCAGAACATACATGGACATCTCCTAGCTCCCAACCTATCATTCTTTCCACTAAACCCTTTTTATCAAGATGTTATCCTCTGGTTCACGCTTAAGCTTCTTTCAAAAAATAACTTAAAACGTTACTAGATTTCTTACATTCTAAAATAAGAGTTAGCTTCTGTGAATTAAATGTGCATTAATAACAACTGGGCAATCTCTGATCTTCAAAATAATTCTAGAACAGAATCAAATACCTAACAGACAAGTTGACCAAGGGCATTATGATAACCGATGTTTAGTAACGAACACCTTGGAGCATTACCTGTGAGGGCTGTGGTCTTGGAGGCACTGCAGGAGGTTGGGCAACAACTCCAGCCTGTTGCTGTCCTGTGTGAATACGTAAGTCTTCTTTTTAGTAAATATATCATTACTTTGCTAGCAGAACAGACAGGCTGAATGTATGTGTTCAAATGATAAAGATTCAGAAGAATGTCTGGTAAGTATTGGAAAGTATATATTTCCTGTAAAACTGTCAAGATGTGGTCAAATCTCATGGCCTCTTCTCAGGCCTCATTTCTCTTGTTCTACTGCATGAGGCACTCTTGACTTGCTCTCCTCTGCTCCCGTAATACTACACATTCTTGGTTTTCTTCCCATATTTCTGATTGCTCTTTAGCTATTAAACACGAAGATTTCCAAATTTTCTCTTTTAATACTTCAGTCTATTATTTCTATGTAAATGATTCTCAAATAATATATCAATCTTTCTTGGCCCACAAGTCCAATGGCCTGTTGATTTCCCTTTTTCTTCATCATTCTAAACTCATAATATACAAAACAGAACATTATCACTCTCCAAACTTAACTTTTCTATTTCGATCAATGCAATAACAATATGACCAAATAAAAACTGAAACCTCGGAGGAAGTTGTGACTCTTCTCTCTCTTTTGTCAATCAAATTTAAGATGTGTTAGTTCCCTTCCTTGATATCTCCACACCATTCTTTTAAAATCTCTTGTAGCATCCTTCAGGTTCCCATCTTTATCATTTGAACTCAAACACATTTTAGATAGTCATAAAGAAAAAAATTCCCTCTTATTTGATACTTTTTCAATTGAAAATTTTTCTTCAGACAAATATCAAAAAATAAGACATATTAAGAGAAAATAAGTATTGTGTATCTTTAACTTAACATATATTTAATTTATATTCAATAATTAATTTAATTTAACTTAATTTACTATATATTCTGGTTCTCTAACCCCTACCTGTGGTGACTGAAAAGGTCCGATTCATATCTAAAGATGACGATCTAGAATGAGAGGGTTGTGGCCTTGGAGGGGGAGGAGGTGGTGCGGTATTATCAGGCGACGTTCCTGAATGAGACCTGCAAAATTTGCCATTACAACTGGTCATGCTACTGAATTGGAGCTTTGCTTTCTTTCTTTTTTCTTTTTAAGCAGTCAAACTTAGCTAAGCAGCAAAGAATCTTATTGATGTGACACTTTCTCTAAAGGGTACACAAGTACTAAGATGAATAAAGAGCACCATTTATGATGTGCATTCAACAAGTAGTTATTTAATATGGCAGATAATCTTCTTTATAAAGTATAATTATACATTTAACAAAATTTCAAAAAATTTAAAGAAAGTTATTAGTGTGAATTCACAGTAGACTTGAGTGTCAAGTTTCCCCCATTCAGTTAAATGTAGTATTAGTCTAAAACCAATTTTCAAAAAAAAGGAAACTCTCACAGACATAGAAAACAAACTTATGGTTACCAGAGGGGGAAGGGATGGGAAGGGATAAGTTGGGAGTTTGAGATTTGCAGATACTAATATATATAAAATAGATAAACAAGTTTATACTGTATAGCACAGGGAACCATATTCAATATCTTGTAGTAACTTATGGGGAAAAAGAATATGAAAATGAATGTATGTTCATGTATGACTGAAGCATTGTGCTGTACACCAGAAATTGACACAACACTGTAAACTCACTATACTTCAATAAAAAAAAATATATATATATATATCAAAAAAAATGCACTCAAAAAAAGAGACAGAAGCTCTACTTTCAGGTATGGTTAGCTTTCAACTTAAAGTTTGGAATTTGGTGAGCTCAGGTAAAATCTGGTTCAACTATCTGCGGTGCCCATACCTGCAGACACAGGCCATCTCATTTTAGGTGATTATACTCATACTCAACTCGCCCTCGAGGGTCACTTATTGGCCACCAAAGTCTTCTATATACTGAAGAGTCTCTTGGACTCTGGCAATCTGATCCTTACTTATAGGAATAAAAAGTGAACTAAAATCCAAAATGAGTGAGAATGCTAAGATATATGAAGAAACAGCCTTCTGACTGAGTGAGCTCTTTGGGGGGGGGTCTATATAACCAGTCTCTCTATATATCCTCCAGGTGTGTGGCAAAAGCATCTAATCATGTATGAAAAGCAGAGGAGAAAGATGCTCTGTCCTGTGCACAGTTTTGAGTACACAGTGGAGCCCTTGCAGACAGATCTTGCCGTCCTTACCCTATCCCACATCTTTTTTTGTTAGTGCCTGAAAAGTTGTATGTAATGCAGATCTTCAGGGTGGGTAGGTGGCCCAACACTGAGCTGTGCTTCCATATGATGTTTTAAAACTCCAAATTCTTTTGGTACTTGCCCTTAAGACTATGAAGGAAATCTGCACATTTTTTACTTAAATAAATTCTCATTGCTGAGCTACAAAAAGGACTGTATTAAACTGTCATTGTCAAGAAGTTATTAGCCCTTTTTAAATCTTCTATAGAATACGATGAAGACATAAAGGCTCTTTTCATTTTTCTTTAAAGTTGGAAAGAATCAAAATTATTTCCCATTTATATATGTAAATAGGTAACCTAATAGCCTTTAGAGATATGTAGAACTGAAGAATGGAGAATAATTTAGTTTTAAATAATTTTAAATATTAAAATGTAACAGGATATTTTAATATGCTTTTTACTGACAGAAATACTGACCTTTGACGAGTTACATTGTTCCCAATCTGTTCTGGATCCGAAGTAAAAGAGTCTGAACTACTGTAACCATCTGCTGATAAATGGGATATATCCTATTTAATAATAATCATTTCTTCACTTTTTACTCTATATACCCTAAACAAATACAACTAAAGTATTGTTTCAAATCAGAGACATTCAAAGATTAGCTAACAGGTTAACATTTCATCACAGTGTTACTAACTAAAAAATTAAATATAAATCAAATAAATAATGGGCTAATTTACAACAAAATATTATGTACAGAGAACAAATTACAATTTTAAAAAGTTAATATTTAATGACAAATGTTAAAAATAAGTTACATGGAAGGAGGGTACAAAATAGTACATATATTATAACTTCATTTCATATAAAATATAACATGCATAGAATGAGGATTAAGGTTGACAATGAATGTTAATTGTGGTTATTTGTGGAATAGTGAGATTATAAATAATTTTTATTTTCTTATTTTTATTACATTTTTACAATAAGTGTGAATAATTTTTGGAATAAAAATTTATTTTTAAAGAACAAATTAGAAATGCTTTAGGTAAAAAAACTAATTTAAAAATTATTAATGTAAAAACTTTTTAATTTGACAAGGGAGTAAAATGTGCTTAGACAATAATACAATTTACGAAATGAGCCAGAGGGTACCAATTTTCCACCTGAGAAAATACCATTTTCAATTTCTTCAACGTCTTAGGAAGGAGCAGAGGATCTCAGCAGCAGACTAACACTTGTGATGCAATAAAGAAATTTTAAAAGATACTCTAGGGATAATTTGAAGAAATACTACTACATACCTTTCAAGAGTTATAAATGGAAGGTACTGGTTAATTGGTTTGGCTTCGTTTCAAAATGTATCCCTTTCCCTTTTCTTGTCAAACCACTGACAAGTTTATTTAACTGGTACAAGAATGATGCTAAAACTAACATATTTCCATTTGGATGTTCTAATAGACATCTCAAACTTAAGATGTCCAAAACTGAACTCCTACTCTGACCCCACAAACCTTCTCCTACCACAGACTTCCTCACTTCCTAGCTGCTCTGGCTTAAGTCCCTTGAACCACCCTTGACTCGGCTCTTTCACATCCTCTATTACATAGGCACGCAAATCCTATGGTCTTCTACAAGAATCTAGCCAGAACCCGACCACTTCTCAGCACTTCTACTGCTACCATCCTAGGCCAAGCCATCATCTTTCCTTGCTTGTGTTATTATAACTGTCTCCTAAAAGGATCGTTCTCTGTTTCAACTCTTGCCTTCTTCTGGCCTACTACCAATACAGCAGCCAGAATGATCTTGTTAAAGAAGGTCAGATTAAGTCACTTCTCCATTCAAAACCTTCTAATGGCTTTTTATCTTACTCAGTAAAAGTCAGTCTCCCACTGCTCTGCAGTTACTACTCTCCCATTTGCTGCCTATGCCTGCCAAATTTACTAACTAGTTCTATTCCAGGTGTTTACTTGCTGTTCCCACTAGAAGTAAATAAGGCATCTTTCCTAAACCAGAGCTTCATATTTGCTGTTGCTTGTGCCTTAAATGTCTTCTCTTCAGATATTCACACAGCCGAATCCCTTGTCTCCTTCAAGTTTTAATTCAAATGTCATCTTTTGGTAAGGCTTTCTTTGATCACCTCATTTAAAATGTCTTTCTCTCCCCTTTCACAACTTCATTTTTATCCAGGGTGTTAATTACCTCCTAAGATATGTTACTTTTTTTTTTTTCTTTTTCTCATCTTCCCTACAGAATGTAAGACACTGGCTCAGTGAATGAATATATACACAACTTCTTGTCAGAGAGAAACAAAGGAGCCAGTGGGGTAGAGCCAATGTACTAAATCTGGCTGAGAGGGAGGCAAATAGCAGGCCTCCCTTGAAGAAGGTTAGGTGGCACTGGGCAACCACTTACTCATATAGAGGGCAGGGCATTTAAAAAGACTCCCTATTCTCTACATTATTCTCAGTGACGATAATATTAAATGGCTATACATTTGAATTATTCAAACTCTAAATCCAGACTTAATAAACTTCAAATGGAAGACGTAATGCTATCTTTCACTTACCTACAGTATTTCCAGAAGCAAATTTCACTGAAGAATTTATCTTATTTTCTTCAGAAAGGTCAGATGTTTTCACAAGCAATGGGCTAGTGGGATTAGCATGATCTAAGAGAGAGTTAAATACAAGATGCAGGCATCTGAATTAATCAATTTATAAACCTCACAGTATAAGACTTCACTTCCATACTCCAAAGAAGTAGTAGGTAAATCCATGAAACATTAAGACAAAATAATATTTTAACAGAACAAATTTAAATCTGTTTATATACAATTTTGTTTCCTGCCCAAATAGAAGATACTTTATAATGAAAAAGTCAATCTGCATGTTCACACTTTGTTAATTTTATCCCTGAAGGGTCATTAGTTAAACAAATCACCACACAAATGACTGTAAAATAAATAATTTATGTTGTTGACATAAACAGAAAACAAATCTACCTTTTAGACTGTAACTAAAAAGTTTAATCTAAAATGAGGAGAAACTTCAAGAGTTCAAGCAAAATACACAATTTCAAAGCCAAAATTCATTTTAACATATACTTCTTCAGTTAAAACTTGAATATACTTTAAATGTATATTCACAACAATGATCATAGAAACCCAGTGTATTAGAAAAGTCACATTTTTCAAATGTCCTTATTTAAAAACTTAATAAACTCAGTAATTTGCTTTTTACAACTGTAATATAAATTAAAATATATATACAAGCACACACACATAATAAATATATCATTGTAGAAAGTACTATGCTAAAAAATAACAATTAACAAAAGAAATCTGAACTTGAAATCTGTTTTCTAGTTTGATGCTAATTTAAAATGCAACCCACTAAACTAAAATACAACCCAGCAGTCGCTTCCTTACCACTGCCAGTTCTTTTAAGTTCCATTTCCTGCATGTGGATTTTGCTTGGAGTCATACGAATGGGAACTGGATGAACAATAGCAGTATCCTACAGACAAATGGGGGAAACACAGAATTCTGTATTGAAAAAAATGCCAAGCAGATATTATGAAATAACCAAAACTAGTAACACTTTAAAAACTGGTGGATAGAGTTTCTCATTCGCACTAAGGCAAACATGAAAATTGGTTTTTTAATTAAAAAGTTCTAGAATTATATTTAAAAAATCAAGTTTTACTACATATGCCTAATAATCTAGTTTCTTTTATAAAAAGTACATTTTAACCTTGAGTGACTAAAGATTTGAGGAAAAAACTGATCTTATAAAAATATAGCTAAAGACCATTTAAAGGCAAAGTGTGAAATGATCCAATGGAATTATACAAATTTGAACTTTGGAGATTAAAGTGAACTATTTCATGAGAATCCAAAGACTAATTAGCAGATGAACTCATTTTCACTAAACTGCTCAAGAAAACTGACACTTTTCTTTTCCATATATAAAAAAAAGTTAATGAGATGCCTGTCATATTGTAACAGCAGTCATGAAACATACTTTCTATAGATTAGTTCTATAGAACTGTTTAAAATTCATACATAAAACTTCCACAAAAGAACCCATTTTTTAAGAGTCAGGATAAGTAAGAGTCCTACTCTTAACTTTAATACTTTCCTTAAACTTTCTCATGACTATAATACATCTCATAATCCTAAACTTAAGACATGAGTGGCAAGTTAATGGAGTTCATAAAGGAACTGGTAGAACAGACTTTTGGGAAGACTGAAAAGTGTATAAGGCAAGGAAGAAAATGGCAGCCTCTCAGAAACGGAAGAAAAAGAGAAAGGCGCATCTGGATGCCCAGGTAGGCCTAGCCCCTGGCCCAGGAGGCTGAGGCCCCCTAGGGGAGGGGCCAGAATGGGATCAAGCATTTAGCTTAACACACCAGCTGAAAAACACTGCGACAGGAACTCAGCTCCTCCCATGAGAAGTCAGCTCATATTCTGTACGTGCTGCTGCTAAGGACTGTACTTGAGATCTCTAAATTTCGAACAGTTTTGAGTTAAGTTTACAACTTAGTGTGACATATAACGACCTTGCAATTTAAACTAGACACTGTTTTGGTGACAGTGTTACCACACCTCTGCTAGAGAGTAACACCATACCTCTACTAGAGCAAGGTCAGCTCTGGTATACCATCTCCTGTTTGACAGGTCTCCTTGGCTTACTCTTATAATCTCTACATTCACTTATAACAAATGAATTCTTTACTACAATTATACTGATAAATGCATTTACAGTAATTTCCTGCCCCCACACCAGTGAGATTCTGGACAGGGTTCATGTATTATCAAATTAGTCTGAACTAACATCTCCCCTACAATTCTCATATCATAAATATGAACATAATAGATGGAGAAAAGTTTGTATTTCTCACATAATAATGAGTCATGCTCAGGAAATTATTAACAACACACTCACAATGTTGTCTGTTATGGTTATGGTTATGAAAAACAAGACTTTAAGAGTAACTCTACTGTTTTCTTAACCTACAATTTTAATAGCAGAAATAACTGCTATGAGAATCAAAATTTAACATTATCAGGCAAGATTAAAGGAGAAAGTAGGATAGTTCATGAGACAATAAGTTCTTATTCTAAACCCAAAACAAACTAGGAAAAAACAAGCAAAGAAGACTTATTAGCTGCTTTACCTCAAAATACTGATCTAATATATATTCTGTGCATGTGTATAAAGTCAGATTTATAAAACTTACAACAAATATTTAAAGTAGCCTTTTCATATATTTCCAGTTCAATAAAGGGATGTTATAATAATGATCCAAGAAAAGAAAATCATGAATGTTCCATCCATCCTCTAAATAACATGTAGAAATTTCTGTACCAGCAAATCAATTTTCTGTTGCACACTTTAGTCATACAACTACTGGCTGCTATAAGCCTGCAGTAGCTTTAATCCAATGGATCCCACTATTGGTAGACAAGGCAATTCCTGGAAGAGCTTTACACAGATAATCAGACCCAACCTCAGACTACTGGATCAGAAGCTCTGTTTGTGACTGTGATGTGCAGCAGGATAAAGAGCTTTGGCTTTAAGTATTTCAACACCCAATGAAGAAGAACCATAAATGCCTATAAATCTCTGAGTCCTGAGCCACAAGATGCCTAAGTAACACTTTTTCTGCTCCAAATTAGCATTCCTAAATTTAAAAATAGAGAAAAAAGTATAAAGACTGACTGGCAGGCTCAGCCAACTCTTCTACCTCTTCAAATCACCCAAAGCCTTTACGAAACCTGTTCCTAATCACT